ATAATTGTACATCTGTATGATTGCTCTTAAAATTATGGAATGGAACGCAAATGGTTTGCTTCAACACAAAAACGAATTAGAATTACTTCTGCAAACAGAAAATATAGACATATGCCTAATAAGCGAAACTCATTTTACAAAAGAATCGTATATCAATTTTAAAAACTATAATATTTATCATACTATTCATCCAAGCAATAATGCTAGAGGCGGAAGTGCCGTTATAATTAAATCCAACATTAAGCATTATCAAGATAATAAACTCTCTAATGAAGAGTTCCAGGCAACAACCGTTGCAGTTGAAGAGAGTGGTTCCAAAATACAAATAACGTCCATCTATAGTCCACCAAGACATAACGTAAAATATGAACAATACATAGATCTATTAAAATTACACAATCATAAAGCAATAATTGGTGGTGATTTTAACGCAAAAAATGTTCAATGGGGGTCAAGACTAAATACCACAAAGGGTAAGGAATTACTTAAAGCATGTCGGGCCACAGGTTTTGAAGTTCTCTCCACTGGCTCTCCAACATACTGGCCAACTGATAGAAATAAATTACCAGATGTCATTGATTTCTTTATTGTAAATAAAATTCAAAAAAGAGACATTGAAGTTAAAGCAGGACTTGACTTAAATTCTGATCATTCTCCAATATTGCTTACTTATGGATGTAATATTCTATCTACGATACCTAAACCGACACTAACAAACCGTCTAACAGACTGGAATTATTTTAAGGCCCAGATAAATGAAAATATTGACCTATCCTGCAAAATAAGAAGTATAAATGACCTAGAGAGTGAAACGCATTGCTTTACAAGCTTGATTCAAACATCGGCATGGCGCAGTTCTCCACTGCAGAATAGTAAGCAATTTGATAAAATCTATCCGGTCGAAATTTTAAATCTAGTCTATAATAAAAGAAAACTACGTAAAAAATGGCAACAATCACGATTAATACAAGATAAAAGAAACCTTAATAATGCCACTCAAAAATTAAGAAGAGAAATCAGCAATTTTAAAAATGAAAATGTTAAGAAATATCTTACAAACTTGACATATGATAGCAAAACTAACTATTCTCTCTGGAAAGCTATGAAAAAATATAAAAGACCGATCACACATAATCCTCCATTAAAAAAAAATAATAATGAATGGGCGAAAAGCAATATTGAAAAGGCACATGTTTTGGCTGAATATTTAAGTAATACCTTCAATCAAGAAGAAACCCATCATATAGAGCCAAATAACAACATAGATGATGAAGCTATTTTGCGGATAAAAAATAAAGAAGTAACTGGGGAAATCAAAAAATTGAAATTAAAGAAATCACCAGGATATGACCTCATAACTAGTGAAGTGTTGAAAAAGCTACCTCCAAAAGTAGCCAAACTTGCACAGATATTTAATGCGAGTATAAAATTAAATCATGTCCCTAGCTATTGGAAAGTTGCTGAAGTGGTGATGGTACTAAAACCAGATAAGGACCAACATTCTCCAACTTCATATAGACCAATCTCTCTCCTGCCAACCATAGGAAAACTGTTCGAAAAGCTTATCTGTAAAAGACTTGAAAAAGTAGTTTATCAAAGAAATCTTATCCCAAATCATCAGTTTGGATTTCGGAAAAAACACTCAACAATCGAACAAGTACACAGAGTTACGCACGAAATAAAAAAGGCATTAGAAAACAAAGAAACTTGTTCAGCTGTGTTTCTGGATATATCAAAGGCTTTTGACGGGGTTTGGCACTCTGGCCTGATATATAAGTTAAACACTATCCTGCCACAGCAATATTGTAAACTACTGGAATCGTATATTGGCGAAAGGTACTATCGAGTTAAACTACTTGACGCGTATTCGAAATTATATCCTATAAATCGCGGGGTCCCTCAGGGGAGTATACTAGGCCCATTGCTGTACCTGCTGTACACATATGATTTGCCAGTGAACCCAAGATGTATTGTTGGAACTTTTGCAGACGACACGGTATTAATGGCCACAGGTCCAAACAACAAGGTGTCTACCACTAAGCTTCAAATCGCTCTTCAAGAAATTGAACAATGGACAAATAAATGGAAGCTGATAGTAAACAGTTCAAAATCTAATCATGTAGACTTTACTAACAAAAGAGAAAATCAAATTTCATTATTTCTAAATAGCGTAAAAATTCCAGTTGCAAATTCTGCGAAATATCTAGGTATGACTCTAGATGCCAAACTGAGATGGAAGGTACACGTCAAGAAAAAATTAAATGAGCTAAAAATAAGATACAAAAAGTTAACTTGGCTTATTGGAAGGAGATCTAAATTATCTCAGCAAAATAAGCTTATGATCTATAAACAAGTCTTCAAGCCGGTCTGGCTCTATGGCGTCCAAATCTGGGGTTGTGCGAAGAAACATATAATAGATATGATGCAAAGATTTCAAAACAAAGCAATCAGAGATGCAGTTAACGCTCCGTGGTACGTGCGAAATTCTGATCTACATCGAGACCTAAAAATACCTACTGTCAAACAAGAAATTCAGAAGGCTGCTAAAAAACATTATGACAGGCTGAGACAACACTTAAACAGCACCATTCCAGCGCTACTTTGTGATGTCACTCACAGACGCTTATGCCGCTTCAAACCTAATGACCTTTTGAGGCGTTTCAACCAGCAAGGAGATGACTAGTTCGTATCTATATGCTCACCCTAGATAGACTTAGATAAATTTACTTGTAATAAAAAAAACCTCTTGTTAGTCAATATGACTAGTTGTTGTAAATTTAAACTCTTCATTTTGTTTAAATATAAATAATAAAAAAAAAAAAAAAAAATATTTTTATGATAAATATAAAACAATTGCTTGACGATTTAAAATTATATTTCGTGATGTGTTTCTGATAATTTTACGTTTTTGCTTTTTTCAAATGTGTCATCTGGAGGGAGATAAGACATTGATTTTTAACATGTTTTTGTGCGAATTCCACGCATACGATTCTGATTTTTACTTTATTTCAAAGCCTGATTTATTGCCTCTCAAATGCATGTGCGTCCAGGTCTATCGAACACTTAGTTGTTTTTTAATAATTTTTTAAGTAAGTATTTTAATGAACTTTTAACGTCAATTTATGTATATATTTATTAGATGATAGTTTTTGTAATATAATTATAAAATATCAGAGTAGTAAGCTACTCGCTGTAATGGCTGTTTGTGGGATGTCCAAAGCTGTGAATATAAAAACCCGGCATATATAAAATATACAAAATTATAATAAATTATAAACTAAGCTCAACCTATACGTTAACTATCCATTTTTTCAATTTTACGATTTTAAAATTTTATTTAAACTTAACACAAATTTTCACAGCATGCGAAAACCACTGTTAAAAAATTTTGCGTGAATGACATACCTGTTCAAATTCGGTCGCTAGAAGAAATTTGAGCAAGAGAGAGCGCAACTTGTGTGACACACCAGTATGATAGTCCGCACCAAAGAAGATTTTATATAGAACGGAAACTTAAATGAGCACAACACAAAATAACCCAGTAGAAAACGGATCGATCCGTCATCGAAGACGTCTTCAAGACATGGATACATACATGAAGACCGATCGATCCAAATGTATGACGGTCTTCGAAGACACTTTCATACAAATTAGCCAAATTTTTTTTTTTTTTATTTATTTTATTTTTAATTGTATCTTTCTGATAAGAAATTGACAATTATGTAATCAAATCTTAAAAACTAATCATTATGCAATTAGCAGGTGCAAAAAAGGAGTTTAAACTTTATAATAAAATGAAATGGATTATTATTATCAAAATTTATATCAACATTTTTAGTAAAATTACGTTAAGGTGGTACGAAGCTTTTTCGCTTAAGTCTAGATATTGTGGTATCAGAAAGCAGCTGTTGCGCCATTGGATTACTATGCTGGTGAAGTTTCACTTTATATTTTTGGCCGCATGTTGTAATGACGTCTGCAATAGTTGGGATTCCAAGATCTTTGTGGATATGTACATTTTTGAGATACCAAGGAGCACCTGTTATTTGTCTAAGTAATTTGTTTTGAACTCTCTGTATTTTTTCGATATTAGAAGCACATGCTGCACTCCAGAGTTCTATACCATAGGACCAGATAGGTTTTAAGATTGAATTGTATACCAAGACTTTATTTTCCAGAGTTAGCTTAGAGTTTTTATTAATAAGCCAATGGAGCTGCTGTGATTTTAATTTAATTTGAGATTTTTTGCTTTCAATGTGCTTAGTCCAAGTCAGCCTTCTATCAAGATGGATGCCAAGATATTTTACATCATGTGACTGAGGTATAATGATGTTATTCAACTTAACAGGGGGTACGTTTCTTTTCGCAGAGTAAACGTGACATGCACACTTTTCGTTTCGTTTACTTTTATGCGCCATTTTGCTAGCCACTTCTCCAATAGACTTAAGTGAGTCGAGAGACTTTGGGACGCCCTTATGTGGTCACTGTTAGAACTAAGAATTGCAGTGTCGTCCGCGAAAGTATCAAGTGTGTGATTTGAGAGTAGTGGGAGATCAGCTGTATAGATTATGTACAGAAACGGCCCCAATACGCTTCCTTGAGGAACACCGGCCATTATGTCGATTTCTCTTGAAATAAAGGTATTGTATTTCAATCTAAATTTTCTAGAAGATATATATGAATACAATAGCTTATGCATATTTTCAGGAAGATAACGTTTTATTTTATACATAAGACCTTCGTGCCAAACCTTATCAAAAGCTTGGGCTACGTCCAAGAAAACGGCGGAACAGTATTGTTTGTGTTGAAAGGCAGTATGTATTTCTTTAGCAATTCTGTGAACTTGCTCAATAGTGCCATGTCCTGTTCGAAATCCAAATTGATGGTTTGGGATCACATTGTTTTGAGTTATTATTGGCATAATATATGACAGGAGCATTTTCTCAAAGATTTTGGATAACTGGGGCAAAAGACTAATTGGTCTATATGATGATGCCAAAGTTAGGAATCAAAGTTAGGAATCCTGCTTTTGGAATCATTTTTATTTCTGAAACTTTCCATTGCTTCGGGTAGTAGCCAAAAGCGAGGATGCTGTTAAATATCACCGTTAGAAAAGTTATTGCGGAATCAGGCAATTGTTGTATCATTTTACCCGTAATTTTGTCGTATCCAGGTGCCTTTTTGGGATTTGCAAATGTTCGAATAGTCTCCTTGACGTTATCCAAACACAACGTAAGGGGAGTTTCAACAATAGAAGGAGATTCGATGTTAGGTTGGAAATCTGATAATTGTGGGTTTGGCTGAAAGACACCCTTTAGGTGTTCTGCTAAAATACAACCTTTTTCTTCGTCATTGCGAGCCCAAGAACCATCCGGTTTTCTTAGCGGTGGGTCATTTTGTATTGGCGTTTTAAATTTCTTCGTTGCCTTCCACAGAGAATAGTTGTTTTCTTTAAGTGGACCAAGTGACTCGAGATATTCTTGTAAAGAGCGGTTTTTGTCATCAGATAGTGCTTTTTTAAGATCTTTTGAAGCTTTATTTAATCTTTGTTTTGAGGTGGGTGATCGAAGTCTTTGCCATTCACGCCTGGCTTGTCGTTTTCGAGAAATAAGATAATCAATGTGTGATTGAAATACTATATTTGACTGGACTGATCTTTTTGGTTGAGAGGCTTTAATTACAGCATTATTTAATGTCTTGGTAAAGTGATCAACTGCTTTATCAATTTCTTTAGGTGAACTACAATTTGAATTGTAACTTATTTCCTCATTAATAATATTTATATATTTCCTCCAGTTTATTAGAGTTTTCTTATTCTGCTCATTTGAATTAGTGTTAAATTTTGTCAGAGTTAAAATAACCGGAGAATGGTCAGAGGACAAGTCATAAGATGATTTAACAGCAATATCTTCACGTTTCATACCATTAATGACTGCGAAATCGATTAAGTCTGGTATTTTTCGATTGTCTGATGGCCAGTATGTTGGGTGGCCTGAGGACACAACATCAAGGCTGTTGCCAAGTGCTGCATACAGTTGACGACCTCTTGGAGTTATTAGTCTAGAACCCCAAAAGGTGTGTTTAGCATTGAAATCCCCAGCAACTAGAAAGTTAGGACCGAGATCAGTAAAAAATTTCCGGAATTGATCAGAAGTAATAGCAAATTTGGGCGGGCAATAGATTGCTGAGACGACAGTTTTAGTTAGACCAGAAATTACACAAATTGATGTAGCTTGTAGGTATTTAAAACAATGCTTTTGAATTTCATAATGTTGTATTGTGTTTCTAACAAGTACTCCAGAACCACCACATGCTTTACCATCTGGATGTTTAGTGTCATAAAACTTATATCCAGAAACTCGAAAACAGTTTTTGAAGGTTAAATGTGTTTCAGATATAAGCAGTATATCGATATTGTTACTCACCAGAAATCTAGTTACTTCCAGTACATGTTGGCTTAAGCCGTTTGCATTCCAATGGCATATTGTGATTGCATTCATTTGGGTTTTACCAACTCAGCAATCAAACTTTGGTTTTGTATCATGCTTTGCATCAAGCTATTCATCATATTTTGCATGAAGTCCATGAAGTGTTCAATTTTTTGGGTAAAACTTGCGAGCATTGCTTCAAAGCCTGGAACAACAGTGGAGCTATTGGTAAGAAGTGGAATTTGTTTAATGGCATTTGCGTACGTCATTTGCTGCATTGGTGGAGCCGGTGGTTGCAATGTAGGACCAGTGTTCTGTGGAAGGGCCGGGAAATGAGATGTTGTGAAGTTTGGCAGATTAAGCTGTGGGGTGCGCTGTCTTTGGGCAACGTTTAATTTTAGTCTTAGAGCAGTGAAAACTGGACATCCTCTGTAGTTTGCTGTGTGGCTATCACCGCAGTTTGAGCATTTTCTAACTGCTGGGTTTTCTTTGCTTTCAGGACATTTATCTGAGCTATGGATTTTGGCACAAATAACACAAACTTTAGCAAGTTTACAGTATGACTTGGTGTGTCCATATTCCTGGCAGTTGAAGCACTGTACTGGAAAATTACGCTTGTGTGGTTCCTCTATAGTAATTTTTCTGTTTAAAAGAAAGCGAAGCAAATAAATAGGATGGACTTCGCCACTTTTCAACTTGTTTCTGTCTGGATACAGCTCAACTTTGTACATTGGTTGCGGCTTACGGTCTCTATTTAAGATATTAAATATACTTTTTGCTGCGAAGTTTTTTTCTTTAAGTGCATCGTGAATTTCTTTAATATCAACTCCTGCCTCTATGCCTTTTATGACCACTATTAGTCCTTTACTACTTTTTAATTGATACGTATAAAATTGTTTCGATTTTATCTCTAATTCAGCAATTACTTTACGAAACTGATCTTCACTTGAAACTTGTACCTTGGTTTCATTAATCATGCCCTTTTTAATAGGTACAACAAAGAAATTTTTTTTACCTATTAAATTTGAAAGTGAATTAACTAAATCACTAGAGTTTTTTTCTCTTACATAGATAGGCGGTGGTTTAACAATTTTATCTTTGATCTCTTCTATGTTTTCGCTTTCATCACTCAGTGCTTTGAATCTGTTGTTATAATTATTGTTGTTAACCTTTTGAATTTTGTCACGATTGTTTGCGTTTTTTTGTGGGCTAAGTTTTCGCTTAACTATTTCAGTATATCGTTCAATTCCTGTTTGTACTTTGATTGGTTTATTTGGAAGTCCGACATTTTTTCCGGAGTTAGGCGTTTTACATTGAACACTCCAGGGTTGAGGTGATAGAGATGGTACAGAAGTCAATGAATGTGGACACAATTTCGATTTTTGTTCCTGTTGTTGCTGACTTTGTAAAGTTTGCTTTTGTGTTTTATGTTGCTGCTCTTGCTGTTGTTGTATTTCTTGCTCTTGATTAAGTTGTTGTAGGCCTCCACCTTTCGGTGGAGTACGATCAACCGGCATTATAATCAATCAAAACGTTTAAAAAAAAAAATAAAAAAAAAAATAAAAAAATAAAAAAAATCTGTATATTTAATTAAAAAGTATTTTTTTTTTTTTTTATTCTGTCAATATAATTTATACAATTACACTTTGCAGTAATATTTTGTGTAATTGATTTGAACTTCTTTTTGATTTATATATAAGAATTTATTAACTTTATTTATTTAGCATAAGTTAACAAGTTAACTACTCAATTTACACAATTACACGATATTGTGAGATGCAATTTGTACAATTTTTTTTTCTATTTCGAACACTTTTCTTGTTTTTTATTTTAAGCTTTAGAGCTTTATCTGCTGTCTCTATCAGCTGTTTTTAAAAGTGTGTGAATTTAATGCAAATAAATATATTCAAAAAACAAAACAAATTTGCAAATAAATTCACTTTTTTGCATATCAACAATATAAATATATTAATAATTTAATTTTTGACGTTAAGTCTGGCACTAATATTTTTATAAATTTTGTAAGGAGTCACTATCTCGATTTATTGCGATAAAAATTTTAAATTATTTTGCACGTTTTGCACATGAAAAATATCAAAAATACGCAGTGATATTATTTTGCGCGCGCACTACATTAAACTTGTGATCAATGTATAAATTTATAAAACAAATAAAATGTTTAATTACTAATTAAAATTTACTTGATAATGCGCTATCAGAAATAACTGCATACATTTTTCAAATAAAATTAAAATCATATGGGTTCCTGAGCACGCAGTTATCAAAGGATATGAACTAGCATATCAAGCTGCCTCTGCCGCTGTTCGCTCTCCCTTTTTCTTATTCAATACATCAAAAAAAAAAAATATTTTAAACTTTGTAAACAAATATATGGAAGATGGAAGGGCAACAGAATGGTCAGTGTATAACCATCGCTATAAGTCGATCAATATCAGTGGATTGAATGCAATATATCCACAATCATGCACTCGCCAAGAATGTCAAATTTTTATCCGATTGCGTATGGGACATTCTAAGGTTTTTCATGAACACTTCTTGAGTGGCGATCAGCTATTAAACTGTCTATTTTATAATAGCACACCATTCATAGATCATATACTTAACGATTGCCCTTCTTTTGATTCTACTCGTAGTAATATCTTTTCAAACATCCTATCTACCAGCTTATTAAAAACAATTATTGTTAAAAATATACTTTTTATGATATAGGTATAAATATAATAATGCCTGTAATCTATTCAATAAAATTTAATTTGTAATATTCGAGCTGAAGGCCCGGGCAACTATTACTCGTTTTTCCTTTCTTGGTTATAATATTTTATATTTTGTAATTAAATATAATAAATAAACAAAAAAAATATTTAATAACTTTATTTCAATATATAATTAGTGGATCAATATACTGTTACTTTATATTTTTTATTCTATAGGTACTGAATTTTTTCAACACACGAAAAAAAATTGTTGAAAATATTCTCAAATTCATTCTGAACTTTTGCTACGACCGCTATGTTCGGGTAATAATCTGCAAAGTTTTAATGGATTCACAGAAATGGATTTTCTTGAGAACTTTAATACTCTGGTATTAATTAGCACTAAATTTTGCTTGCAAAATGTTTCACATTAATAGAGAGAGCGGACTTCCATGTAGTCGCCATGGAGAACCTTATACTTTCGAAAGAATTGTGGAACGTCGTTTTTCAACCATTGCCTCATACTAAAGTGTTTGGTTATCTACGTCTACAATAGATACTTACAAACATATTAACTTTGACACGAAAACATTAACTGTGAATGAACATTCACTTATACAACCATCCAAACCAACTATTGTGACCACTCCAATGCCTAAAATTCATATGATTTTGATAAGTAAATCCAATTATTTTATTTGTTTATGAATTCAACAATTTGATTTGAATTTTCGGTATCAAAGAACATGATTTTTTCAATCGATCTAATCAGAGATGATATTATTTGAAATGAGTTAGTTTGACTGGTTAAATCTTGAGTTTCTGGAATTTATAAGGCTTCTAAGCTAAGCTTTGTGGTCTCTTTTGTTATGTTCGTTATACGGTTGTTTTCGAAATGTTGAGATGAGCAGACATTTATGTTTTATAGGAGCACATATACGGTTCCATTTGAGACTTAAATTTTCGAACCATTTTTCCCGCAGATGTAGACTGCAGTTCCAACCACTACAATAGACTTTTGCAAGATTTCTAGTTTATTATTTATTATTATTTTTATCGAATTGTTTAGCGCTAAAATACTGCTATATTACAATTATAAATATTAAATGCTTAAATTAATATATATTAGATAAAATTTATTTTTTATATTAAACTCTTCCAACAAAAGGTAAGAGTTTAATATATTAATTAATATAGTAATTTTATATTGAAATTTGATGCCGTTTCATTTAATAGACAACGTCCTGTTTTTATAATATTTATTTATTAATTATTTTGAAAATATTCTGTAGGAGTATTTAAAAGGCATATTTGTTACATTTTAATACCATAAAACACTGTTCTTTTTCCACCTACTTAACAAAAATTTTTTTAAGTATTTACATGGAATTTATTTCATAAATAAAAAACAGTATATAATTTATATGTATAAAACACGCGATGTATCTAAATACATTAAAAAGAAATTTTTTTAAAGTCCTTCAAAAGTCCACACTTTTGCAAGTATGACGTATGCGGGTATATTCAACTCAATATCTAATATACAAACAATTATCAGTATTTTTCGTTTAAACTTAAAGAGTTCTTATAATATATTTTATAATAATAATAAAATCTATAAATAAATATCACTCATACGTCACGGCCTTTCTCACTAAAATATTTTTTATTTTATTTTCATTTTAACCTTAGTAAGCTCAGTTTTTTGTAAAAATATTTAAAAATGTTAAGAAATACATAGGAATTATTAAGACGAAGCCAATGAAGAAAGAAATGGAGTACGATAGTCTGTTAATTTATTAATAGAAATGCATTCAAATAGTTTATATAATGTATAAAGAAATGAGTTCTACTTTAAACAAAAAAAAAAAATAAATAAAATTCTATTGAAACTGAAAAAAAATTATTATTCGTTAAAAAAAGTTATCAATATTTAATATAGGGATATCTAAATATTAACTCAAAAAATGTGGAAAATAAATATCAATTTCCATGCAAATCCTTTCAAATTTATATGAGATAATTTTATAAAAATAGGAGATATTAAAAATTGATACCAGAAAACGAATGAAAGCTATGGTTTTTAGCAATATTTTCGAAGTTCAAATACATTCTTCTAACTCTAAACTAGAAAAATATTACACAGCAACTATCAACAAATTTATATCTAATTATAATAAATAAACATTCATAAAATAATTTATGTATTTTATGTGTTTAATTCAGTTGTGCTTTTCTCTTTATAGGTACGTTTATGTAAAAAAATGTATACAACATTTCTTAAGATAAATTCTT